GGGGCAGTAGGAGGTTGGGGTCAGCAAGGGGGTGCTGGGGATGGGGGACATTGGGGACATCGAGGGCAGGGGTCGGGGCCAGCAGGGGGACGTTGGGGATGGCAGGGACATTGGGGACAGGGCGTTGGGGACACTGTTGGGGATGGGGGACATTGGGGACATGGGGGGACGCTGGGGACATGGGGACATTGGGGACAGCAGAGTGGGGACACCTCCCAGCAGTCCCAGTCCCTCCCAGTATCCTCCATCCTGGTGTCCGCCATCCCAATGTCCCCAGACCTGGTGTCCCCCATCTTGGTGTCCCCAGTGCCTCCCAGCTCTTGATCCCTACTGGTCCATATTGGTCTCTACTGCTCTTTACTGGTCCATACTGGGCCACACCAGTCTATACTGGTCTATACTAGTGCATACTGGTCCATAGTGGTCTCTATTGGCCTGTACTAGCTGGTGAAAGCAAGGTCTCTAGCAATTTATACTGGTCTATACTGGTCCATACTGGCCTATATCGGTCTGTACTAGCTGGTGATGCAAAAGGTCTTTAGTAGCTTATGCCAAACTACAGCAGTCTATGCTGGCCCATACTGGTCCATACTGGTCCATACTGGTCTGCATTTGTTGGTGAAAGGGAACATCTCTAGTAGCTTATACTGGTCTCTATGGGCCTATACTGGTCTATAGTGGCCCATACTGACCCACGCTGGTCTGTACTGGTTGGTGAAAGGGAAGGTCTCTAGCACCTTATATTGGCTCACAGTGGTCCATACTGGTCTATACTGGTTGGCAAAAGGGAAGGTCTCTAGCAGCTCGTACTGGCCCATAGTGGTCCACAATGATCCATACTGGTCCATACTGGTTGACGAAAGGGAAGGTCTCTAGCAGCTCATACTGGCCCGTACTGGCCCATAGCGGCCCATACTGGCCTATACTAGTCCATACTGGTCCATACTGGTTGGCGAAAGGGAAGGTTTCTAGCAGCTCATACTGGCCCATACTGGCCCATAGCGGCCCATACTGGCCTATACTAGTCCATACTGGTCCACGCTGGTTGGCGAAAGGGAAGGTCTCTAGCAGCTCATACTGGCCCGTACTGGCCCATAGTGGTCCATACTGGTCTATACTGGTCCATACTGGTTGGCCAAAGGGAAGGTCTCTAGCAGCTCATACTGGCCCGTACTGGTCCGCAGTGGCCCGTAGCGGTCGGTAGGGGCCGGGACACTCACGCAGGGGGGCGGCGAGCAGCAGCAGCGCCAGGGCCAGGTTGCGGAGGA